TGAACAGATTTTGACAAAGCAGCAGTGTTGTGGTAGTTTCCTTTCCAAACTGATAAGAGCCAAGAATGGATGCTGTGTGGCATGGCAACACTGCAAGATTGTTCGCTTATCCCTCACTGTAGACTGAAAGCAGCAGATAGCTCAGAACAAAATGGCTTGCTTCACAACCTCCATGATAGCTTCCCACTCCTGACATAAAAGCACAGCCAAACATTTCTGCGGGAGTGCTGCACGTACATTTCTACATGTTTTTGGTTCGTTGGACATCATACCAGAGATTGTAATCATAGAGAATCAAAAGCAACAAAGACAAAACTGAGATAATAAAACAGTTCTGAAAACCACAGTTTCATCATCTTTACCCCAAAGAGTCTGGTAACTTTGAAAGGAAGCTGGATGTAAGAAAGAAAAGTCTAGTTTGAGGAGAGAAATTGTTTCCAACAGCCTTCAGCACTTTTTCCCTAGTTATTAAGCAGTTCGCTGTACTTCCAAGAGCTGCCTTTCAGGAAAAGAATCTATGAAACAGAAAATCTATTAGGTTATCTCTTTTCTAAAAAATCAGCAACATTTGCAAGCAGTTACCAGAGTGCTATGAAGATGTGACTATCTGAAAAACAGCATCAGTGAGAATCAGATAGATGGAAGCTTACTGTCAGCTCTCCAAAGAGCTGCTCGGGTTTCTTTGTAGAGTTCTCTTCTGGTTGCAGAGAGAGACTGTAGCTGACTTTAGGGAGAGAGAAAGGCAAAGAGCATTGTAACTGTTTCAGTTCATGGTGCCATGGCTCACCAGCATCTCCACGCCTACCCAAGGGCAAGGCAATTGTCACTTAGGTGCTGAGAATCATGGCTAAGTGCTCTTTCACTCCCACCTTCAGCAAAGCAGGCCAGAAGACAGCTGTGTTTGGCATCTGGCTTTTACTTCTGTCCCGCTGACAGTGTCAATATGAGGTTGTTGAATCTAAGGCCTGCTGGAGCAAAAATGTCCATTCAAGCCTGTATCAATATGTTTTGAGAGAACGGCATGGAGCAGAGTCAGGTGAGGGTCAAGCTAGGGGTCAGGGAAAGGTTTTTCACTGGAGGATGGTGGGCATGGAGCAGGCTGCCCAGGGCTGTGGGCACGGCCCTGAGTGCTGGAGTTCAAAGGGCGTCTGGACAGCGCTCTCAGACATTGGGTTTGATTGTGGGTGGTGCTGTGTGGAGCCAGGGGTTGGACTTGATGATCATCTCTGTGAGTCCCTCCCAGTTTGGGACATTCTATGATTCTATAAATATTTGGTGTAGAGGTTAAAAAAAGAGTTAAGCTGGGAAAAAGATAGGCATGTAGCAGAGAACTGCCGTGTTCACCTCCAGGTCTCAGCTTATCTAATCCATAAGTCTTCTGATATTCTTCAGGCCTACTAATGATGGGACTCTCTCTAGTAAAACGAAAGAAAGTTTTTAATAGTGAGAAGACCTGCAAAAGAAAAAGGAAAGCTCTGAGTATATTACAAGATGGGCATTACTTTCTCTTGTCTTCCCCTGAGTACGTAGAATTAGGGGCAGAACAGGTTAGGGAGCCTTGAGATTCAGACCCTCAGAGATCAGGACCTGGATCCTCATTAGACAGGCAGTTTTAATGTGGGAAGACAGAAGCAGCTCTGACAGATGGCTGGCTTTTACTGGCAAAAGTCACTTCAGCTTTGATGAATATAGGACATACCTCTGTATCTAATTTTAAAATTCTGGAAAAACTAGCTTATGTCTGTCACAGGAAAAGTGATGAGGGAGTAGGGGGAGACAGTAAAGTTTGTGGTTCTCTAGCAGAGGTATTCGAAAATGTAAGAGACTGTCAGAGCAACACTTTGACAAGGAATTTTTTAAGCATTTCCTTACGAACAACATTAATGCTCAGTCTTCAGAAAAACCATGTGGAAATCTAATTGTTCACTGAGGATTTAGTATGTCAGACTGGCACTCTGAATCCAATAACTGGAGTGTGAAATAGAGGGATTACTGCCAATCTTGACACAAGTTCAGTTGAGGAGGCGTGTCAGATACCTGCCCCAGACTGAGGTTGCCTACCGCTTCCCATCTTGAGATTGTTTCCAGTTGTTTATAACATTGCCAGATGTTCAATGTTCAGACTGAAACTTTTCATGCCAGACATCTGCTTCTAAATGATTTTAACAACTTTTGATTCAGTGGAACATGTCCCTGCCCATGGCAGGGGGGTTGGAACTAGCTGTTCCTTATGGCCCTTTCCAACCCAAACCATTCTCTGATTCTATGACTGTATGGTGTGTTGTCTTAGTCAAAATAGTTTGACTATGGTTGAGGATGAACCTCCTTCTTTATCCATGCAAAAGCCTTTTCTGTCAATCTTATCTCTGTAAATGTCTAGCATTATCTTGTGGCTGACCACAATGTGAAGTTTGGACAGCGGAGGAACATTTGTTGGCACAGATATGCCTCCTGATATTTCTGCCACCCAAATGTAAGCAGCAGCTCACAGATGCTCAGCAGTGACTTTACAGGATTTAGCGGTTAAAATCTCTGCAGATGTGACTGGTGCTGACCACACTGCAGCCTGGAGCTGAGCCTGAGTACATCTTTCCTCTCCTTCAAGCTCTTCCATTTAACATGGAAAAGGAGGGTGTCAGGGCTGAGTGTGGAAGGGAAAGAAGATGAACACTGGCAGAGGCATGTAAGACCTAGCCAAAGAGTATGGGAGTGTTCGGGAAGACCTGAAGTAGTAACTGGAGTAAGGAGAAAGGTAAGCTTGTGAATGGTGAACAGACAGAGACAAAACTAAAGGCTTGGGAGGGAGGAGGGGACTGAAAACAGAGGGATTCAGTAGGGCACTGAGATTACTGCTGAGAAATTGAGGCCACTCCTGAAAGTCAGAGAGAGGAACAGGGTATCCTATGCCAGGGTGAGTGAATGGGGAGGAAGATGATGCACAGGTAGTGCAAAAAGGATCATGGTGGGGGAACCTATTCAAAGCATGAGAGGCACGAAAACATGGGCTGGGGAGCCAGTGGTGCTGGGACAGGGACAGGACGAAAATGGGGACAGAAAGAACTGGGACTGGCAGGCAGGGAATTACTGGGCTGAGTGTGCAGATGGGAAATGAAAGAGAATCCAGCACACAGAAGAGGATGGGGTTAGGAAAAGTGAAGTGCAGCAGAGATGCATGAGCAACTTGTAAGGATAACTTTCATAATATTACTTAGGATCATTGTGGAGCGGGTAAATATAGTATTTAAATACTTAGTCACTGGAACTCTGTCACATGATACCACACTGACACCAGCTGATGGTTCAGACCATCAACAGATTTAAAACTTGAAGTGACCTGGGCTGAGTTCAGTTGCTGTAACAATGGGTAAAGGGAAGAGGCTGCCATTCTGCAACCCTTCCTGTGTCCCATTAATTGTGCATTACCTACAGCCTGACCTCAGGGTTCCTATCCAGGCAGTATTGCTGTTGATCTGAAAGAACTTTTAGAAGATGTTATAAGTGACTATAACATTATTTCTCACTTTACAAGTAAAATCTTAGGTGCAATTGGTAAGAATACGCATAATCCTCTGTACCACTAAACACTGTAACATGAAGGACTTTCTGCAGGGACTTTCCACATATGCACACACACAAAAGCCCACAACATAAATGCCAAAGCAGCCCATAAATCTAATACACAATTTAAAACATTAAAACAAAAATAATCAGTGGCTTAGCCCAAAATCCTTGTCTATACAGAAAGAGCCAGAACAAGCAACGTAAAAAAAAAAAAAAACATCTTTTCCTTTTGGTAATCAGCAGCCAACATATGTAAAACACAGCTCTTTAAAGCATGATCTATACCGTATCTTCTGGTAGTCTTGGAAACTTAACAGTGACTTGTCAGGCAGTGAAACATATAGAAGAATGAAGGCAATGTATGTAAGAATGATTACAATGGTCTTACTGATTCCAAAGACTCGATTGTTAAGGTTGTAAATTAAAAGCTTGTGAATAGTGATCAGGCAAAGGGGTGAGCCATTAGTCTCCCTGAAAGCCCATCACTCACCACTGCTAAGTGCTTGTGCCGGCAACAGAAGTCTGCAATTAAGCACACAACTGAGCCTTTCTTTTCAGAACCACAGGTCAATATGCAGTGCAGTTCACAGGCTGGTGTGTGGTCATCTCTTGCAAGCAGAAGGTTTTTTGAAGTGAAAACAGAATATTAGCTTGATTTGCTTTGTCAGTAAAAAACAAATAATTTGTTCTGGACCACACACTGAATTAATTATTTTTGGACACACTACACACGCAGAATCCTGTTCCAGTTTTTGTTCTTGTTTTTCTACACGATTGTCCTGGCTTTTCTCACATTGTCTCAGAAAATCAGATCTGAAAAATCCTACTACCAAGGTGAGACTTCAGCTTAAGTTTTCTTGCATGTATTATGTTCCGAAGAAAGATTATTTTCCAGGCACTGTGTCCTACTATTACTAGTTGTAACTTATTGTAAAGTCTTGGACAACATCACTTACTATAAAACAAAAGAAGAACATTTCTGGCAAACAAGTGAGCAACTGGTGAACAAGTGTTTGTAGAGGAAGATTTTCAACACCTGGATACTTATTCCTGAAATTCTTAATAGCTGAAAGAAAAATAATTGCATTTGGAAAGTATTCTAAGTACTCTGATTTGCTTTTTGGTTTGTATTTTGTTTTTATCTTGCATGAGTGATAGAAGGAGTTCAATTAAAGAACAAAATACGTAACAAATAAGAATAACTAATACAAAGAGATGAAATACTAAGCAGTGAATACGTATTTAAATTCTTTATAGATTCTCTTAACTCTAGGGTTATTAAACTTCTGTTTAATCACCAACAATCACCAGAACAAAACAAAATAAACACAAACAAGCCCCTCATCAAAACAGCTAGAAACCTACCACCCTGCCCATGAGGTTTGTGTAATTCTGGCAATGTGGATTATTAACATTAGCAATAAATAAAGATCGCCTACCTTTACAGATCCATTCTCATAGTCAGATCCTTGCAGCAAATGCAGAAATGAAATCATGAAAATATTCACAGTCACCCACGGTTTGTACATTCTGATGTTTAATTCCGCAGGTTACTACGCAGTTGTTGTCATACAGCTGGAGGCGTCTCTTTTGAAATGCATTTCACCACAACAGACAAGAAAAGCTTCCAAATTTCTGTTATAAATTCGCAAAGGATTCCAACATGCGAGAGTAAATATCTTGCTCTTCACTCTTCTAAGCAATTATTTTGAACAATTCACCTAGAGACTGTAATTTCTTAGAGTAGATTTTAGATACATTCGAAAGAAAATCATGATAAGACTTTAAATAGATTGGTATCTGTATGCACGCAGCTACACTCTCACAAGTGATCAGGTACGGGTTCCAGTTAATGAAGTTACTATATCTTCCATCAGGGCACAAAGAGGTATTCAAAATCCATCTGTGGTCCAGAAGATTTAAGCAGTCTGCTCTGTTCTGCGCTCCGTGCTACAGCAGCCTCTTCAGATGGTAGCGTAATGGCCAGTGTTTTGAGCTAGAGAGCTGTAATCCAACTCTGTATTAAAACTTTTTTTCACAACCTTCGTGGAAGCTTGCAGAAGCATGTGTCTTAAATCTGATACAGACTTTGGCAGCAACACAGCCAAATTTTGGCTCTAATCCCATTTTGTCCCTACCAATAGCATAGCAGTTTTAAAACTAACTGATGCAATCTAGACTCTCATTATTTTAAAGAAGATTACCTGAAACATGAAACTTCAGCTCACGTTCTTACACAGCACACATATTTTAAGTTACTTCTTGTAGAAAAGAAGGGGAGAAAACAGAAAAGAGAGAGAATGACTTTTTTCTTTTGTGTGTTCTTATGTGGGATAGTGTTTTCTGGATAGATTTTAAAAAGAAAAGTTAAAAATGATCTTTAGTAACAAATAGAATTTGATTTCTTTAATGAAAGCTCGTGAAATCACAGACATAAAAGGAATCCATCTATTTTTCTTGCAGCAGCACAAAGTGTTGTTTCTGTCCCAAGATATAATAAAGATCTGCATACATTTCCTCTGTATATTTTCCCTGTTTAGTACCAAGACGGAGACCTAAAATTTCTATTTATAACATAGACAAAGGTTCTGATAATTATGTATGTTAAATCCATATTGTTATACTCTTGTGTAATATTTTACATCCACGAGACCTTTCGCCACTCTCTCATGGCTTAAGGTTTGTGAATTAGATCCTACAGTCGTTACCATAAAACAATCCTTTAACTAAGATTTTAGAGCACTGGTTTCCTACCTCTGACTTCCAAGCAGTGGCTCTCTTAAACATAAGCCACGTCTATGTAACAACTAGCTTGCATAATTTCTTCCTAAGTATTCTTTACAAATGGAGATTGGAGAGAAAACTATTTGAATTCATTTCTTCCAGCTGTTGCCAGTTAACTGAGCTATTATGTTTTTAAAAACATGTATGTAACTGCATTATTTTTAGCCTTGCTTTTTGCAATTTACTTTTTTTAAAGCAATCAGTTCCCCCTGTTCTAGCTGGTGGCTTTCCCCATCCGTGGTTCATCTGGTTCATCCCTCTGCCATGGTTCGTATAAGGACAGCAGGAGTTTCCCCTTCTAAGCTGAGCTGGGTGAGTTCCCTTGCTCTGCGTACCTGCTTCTCCCCTCCTGCCTTGCCCACATACACACTGCTGGCTGTGTTCATACTCTCTCACTGGCCCCACACCAACAGGGACATTCTGAGTAAGTGCTCATTGAAATACATCAACTATTTAACTTACCATTTTAAATGAACATATTTTTTCATGCTTATGTACAGTCACTTTGAGCTCTTTTAGTTTCTGCATTTCCTTTCTGATGCTGGTAGCCAACTGCTTGCAGGAACTGAAACTCTGTGGAACTAAAGTGATGCTTCTTAGCTTCAGGTGCACTACTTTAGCAGAACTAACCAAGCGAAATAATAGCACTACATCCTCAGAAATGCATGATAATAGCTCTCTATTGATCTGCAATTAAATAGAGGGGATACCTGTCCATCAGCATCTCTCATTTTATGGGAATCATTAATTGCACACAGACTCAGATTCCCAAGACATGCAGGAATCAATATGCACTTCATGCCCCGAAGCCTGGTCACTGAGTATTGTACAACTAATCTCCAGCACGGTTCAGGGATGAACCTCTTGGTTCCCTTGGGAAGGTCAGTGCAAAATCCCACCTTTTCCTCAGACACCATGGGGTCCTGGAACAAGGCAGGACCTTTCCTCCAGGCAGCGGCCAAGATGCTGCTTCTCACACGGGCATCACCAATCCTCTGCCTAAGTGGGCAGATGGAAGGGATGACCCATGCACAGCACAGAGTGTTTTGAATACCAGCTATGGAACTCGTCCTGCATCCATGAGGGCATTTAAACTGTTTTCATGAAGCAAAACTGCCTGTGTGGATATAGAGAGAAAAGCTCTTCTGGTGATGCACTCTGCAAAGCAATGATGAGGGCACACGTCTAAGGACAAGAGCATAGCTCAGCTCTCTACTCTAAATCAGGTTGAAAAGAAATGCGAACACAAGGACTCTCACACTCTCAGCCTCCTGCTGAGAGCTGCAGTGCCTTTTCCAACCCCTGTGGTACCTCCAAAACTTACCTCAGGGACTCTTAGCAATCTAGCGCAAGAAAATCAACACTGTTTGTTTTGGAAACACTGGAGGGAAACACCTCAATAATGTTTTGTTTATGCTTTAGTTCATCACTGCTGTTTACCAAATTAAACTCTGAATTTCAAATAGTTTGGAAAGACTAAACTTATGTCTTTCTGGAAGCAAAGTGTTTATAAGAGATGGCTGTCCAGCACTGGCTCCAGTGGGCTTTTTGACATGAATGCTGAACAGAACTTCTGGCACTCAGTCAAACCCATTTACAAGAGCAAGTTAGATGCTGCAGGCAGAAGATAAAAAATACTTAATCTCTCCCTTAAGGCTTAGATGCAAAGTCTAAAAGAGGAGAGGAAAAAAGAACTTTTCTAAACTGCAGTGGACTTCAAATCTAGCTCAAAGCTGTTAGCAAAAGCACTGACAAAACAAGAGGAGTCAGCTGATAAGACAACAAAGCAAGTCTCTGATGATGGCCTTTTGGGAACAGCTTCCTTTCCCATCCCTTTTGCTATTTCCCATTGTCTCCCATACAATTCAGGATTTGAACAGGGGCTCCATCTCCCATCTCCCCTCCATCTCCCATCTCCTTCCAGCACCATCTCAAGCCCACACAACTTTCTAATATTTTTTTTCTTCCTACTACTGCACTGATAATGATTTAAGTGTTTTACAATGAAGCTAAAAACTCTGAATTATTTTGAGATTGTGCCTACAGATTGCCTGCAACAGCAGTGAACAAATTTGCTGAGCAATCAAACACCTTCAGGGGCTATGCCTTATGTTTTCTTTTAATATCCAAACACAATACTGACAACATTCTAGTTTCTTTTACCTCCATTTGCTATTGTAAAACCACCTGCTCTGTTCTGTGCAGTCTCTGATTGTGTTTATTTATTTTTAACCTAGCACTGTATAAAGAAGCACTGCAATAATATTCACATGACTGTTAACATGATTCCACTTTGGTAGCTGAATGTGTAGTTCCATTGACACCAGTGATGCTAAATTCTGTTAAGTGAAATAAAACTTCATACTTCGCCACTTGTGGATAAAAAGCTGTGGGTCAGCTCTTTGCAGGAAGAACTTTAAAAAAATTTCTTAGTCTTTTCCATTGATCAGCATGGAAGACTCAAATGGATGAGCAATACAAGTGAAAACAAGTTTAAGTCTCTTCTTACAAACATTACAGGTAATTTAAAAAATATTATGGTAAGCTTATAAGTCTCTATTCCAAAGTAACAGCCTCACACTTCATAGAAACTCGGATTCATTGGTTCTTATAAACCATTTTTGTGATAGAAGATTACAGACAAACAAACCTGAAATTGGTAGATATCCCTAAGAGCAGAACAATCATATTTTGCTTATACTTACCTCTATTTTGTAAGATAGAATTTGTAGGTCAAGGACTAGGACTGCTTACCAATTTGCATTGCAATTTCTATTCTAAGGCTTCACGGTAAATAAACAGAAAAGAGACCAATACTGATGAATGGAACACACAAAAAATAGCACTATATTTGACTTCTACATTTCTGCATACATACACACCCAAGGAATGGAAGAATTTCTTGACAACATTGGACAACCCATGTTCTTCAAGCTGAAATTCTTTCATCTGATAAATTCCTTTGATTATCTGAAAATAACATATACCCACAGATAGGTTCAGACCTGCATCTCTATTTACAAGGCAACACTAATACAGAAACACCCAAAAAATGTCTTCACTGGAAGAAATGAAGCAAAGCATAAAAGGAAGATACAGACCTTTTAATACAAGAGTAAGTCATAAATCAGAAGGACTGCTCAAATGACGGACGGTTTGTGAGCATATGTCCTAAATAAACTCCATTAGGTTGATCAGTCTCAGACTGAAAAGTTAAAATTCAAGTACAATAAAGAAAATTCAGTGCCTTTATTTCAGTGTTATTCCATCGGATACTTTGTACTTGAAAACTCTGCACCGTTTCAAGCCTCAGCATGGAGTAGTGCTCAGGGAACTAATGTAGTTCCCAGTGAACATTGTCAGGTGTTTATAAGATGATTCTATGAGTAGATCTGTACAGTATCTCTAAATAATCCACTCACAGAGGAATTTTTTGTTTTTTGGAAGTAGAAAAAGAAAAATTGGATCAGTTATATGAAATATTACCAACCAGAATCTTAACAGATTCAAGGTACAGCAATTTTAGGTCACTCAGTACTCATTACTTATTAAGTAGTTATTAAAAATATTTTTGAATAAATCAAAGTTTACTGTAACAGCTACTGGAACAACAAATTTCTGCCGAATTAGCAGAATGATTGGAAGTTCACAGTAAATGACAAGCTGGATTGACAAAACTAATGGAGAAAAACACACAAAATCTGACAGCCAGGTGTGTGGCAAGCTGTGCTGGTGTGGATGTGGGGCAGCGCCCACCAGCCTGCCCCAGGACCAGCCCTGCACACCAAGAGCTTGATGCTGCATCTCGTGAGGCTGAAAAACCAGTGGGCCAGATGCCTGGGTGTCCACTGTGGGCCTCCACTGTGCTTCAGGCTGAGGTGGATGAACTGATGTCAGTAACCAATCTAGCTACATTAAAGATTGCATTAAAGATTGCAGGGGAATGCCTGCCCAAGCCACAAACACACCCATGGCTGAAGGGCAGAGGCTCTCAGCTTCAACAAAAGTGAGCCACAACATCCACAGGTTCACCTCCCCACCATGCTATGCTGAAGCCAGCTTGGAGAAGGAATGCTGCTGCTAAATGCAAGCAGCGGCAGGAGAGCTGTCAACAACAGGCAGATAAAAAACCACAGACATGTTGGGTTCAGTGATGGACACACCTTTATATTGCTCTGTCTTTGAGAGGCTCTGTCCCAGTCTCACAAAGAGTACAGCTGCCCCATCACCTTTGTCTAGTTCATGTTTGTTACTCTCAGAGCCTGGAAGGATGGAAAACCATTGTGTGGAAA